ATATATAACAATTTAATATCAACTAATAAATTTATTTTAACAATATATATAAGAATAATAGAAATGATAATAAAAACATATAAATCCAAATATTATAACTCGCTCGAATTGTTTTAGGAAAATAATTCACATTTGGTCGTATCATCGCCTTTTGGCCTCCTCCTTCCGTCCCGCATCTTGCAAATTTTGCAATGTTAGATATTTTACCAAAGAAAGAAAAGGTGGAAACATTTCTAAGTATTAATCTCGTTGTGTTAGTATTGATTTCTCTTAGTCAAAAACTTTATTTTAGTCCTTTATATTTGTACCTTCCGAATTCGATCTGACCTTGCAATAGGTATTTTTCTGATTTCATGGCTAGTTAAGCCCCTACGCCTTATAGGCTTGGGACTGGAAGGCAAGTGTACCATCCCGATCAGAATCTGATCTGACCCCTCTATATGGGTGCACTCGGTCAGAATCCGACCTGTCTGCTCTACAGGGGTAACTCGGAATCCGATCTGACCCTCCCACATAGATACTAATTCGATATCAGGGATAAAATCTCATTTTTAATGACAAAATATTTTCCAAATATTAACGGTTATGAAAATCTCTGCACTCACAGGGCACATGAGGCCCATAAACAAGAAAGTAAAAGACCTAAAACCCTAGAGCTAAGCGGACAGATGACACTTTTGAATGCTCTGGCTTTGAGGCTTGACCTAGGCAGAAACCCTAGTCCATCCCTTGGCCGGAACAATATTAATTGTTTGTTTCAATTTAGTCTCACTTTTATTTTTGGTCTCAATTTGGTCCCAAACTAATTAATTGATTTCAATTTAGTCCCAAATTAATTAATTGATTTCAATGTGGGACTTCGTCCAAATTATTTAAACGGAGTTAACTTTTTGGCCACGTGGATGCCACGTAGATGCATATGTGGATGCCACGTGCGTGCCATGTGGATGACAATTTTTTTGAAAACACCTGGACTCAGAACGGCCCGTTCTGAAACCAGAACGGACCGTTCTCGTTTCATTTTTGGTGTGTTAATTGTGCAACTGAAACAGACCGTTCCAGATGCAAAAATTAACACAGTGCATCAGAACGGCCGTTATGGTTTCAGAACGTGCTGTTCTGGATTCAGAACGGCCCATTCCAAAACTGAGAATATAATATTCTTTACTTAATGTGTTTTTTATCGCTCAAGTATTATAATTATGCAGTTTTGATCCCTAAGGTTTTAATTGAGTAATTTCAGTCCTTAAAAAATTACAATTGTGTAATTTTAGTCTCACAATTTCTAATTGAACAATTTTTATCTCTCAAATATCATAATTGTGCAATTTTAGTCTTTCTCATTAAAAATTTAATAATTTTAAAATTTTAATATATATATATATATATAGTTTTAAAATTATATAATTATTTGCTTATTTAAATTAACGTATATTATAATTTTTGTTAATGTATCAAATGATATACATTTATTATTACTAACTAAATAAAATTTATATATTACTAGTATTTTAATATTACTGATAAATTAATATCAATAATATTTTAGTATATTTATAAATAAACTAATAATTTGATAAATATAACTTAGTATATATTAATATACTTTTAAAAAAATATAAATGTATTAGATAAGATATGTATATTTCTAATTGATATATTTATATTTTTGTAAAAGTATATTAATATATAATAAGTTATATTTATCACGTTATTAGTTTATTTATAAATATACTAATAATATTATTGATATTAATTCACCGATAATATTATAAAAATAATATATAAATTTTATTTATTTAGTAATAATAATAAATATATATCATTTGATACACTAAC